CTCAGTCCAAAGCTCTTCAGCATCTACATGCGAGAGCTCCCACTCCCCCGGGCACCTGCGCTAGTGGTACCGTACGCGGACAATGTTACGTCCTTCTGCTGGCACCACCACATCGATCAGGCTGCGCAGCTCCTCACAGAGTTCATGTCTGCTGTCGTAAACTTCTTCACTTAGCGCGGAATGACGATCTCGGCAGCCAATTCATCCGTACTATTATCACGCTGGACCCAAAGGGGTCCAATCGTCACCCGGCCATCATCGTCAATGGTGCGTCCTTACAGCTCGTCCGTTAGTACAAGCTTCTTGGCGTACGTTTCGATCCGCTCTTCACGTTCGCGGACCGTTCCAGGGAGGTCGCAGGCAAAGTGAATCACCGCACCTAGGTCCTCAAGGTTCTAGCGGACACCTACTGGGGCTGTGCGAAAGAGACTCTGACGACCACATTCAAAGTGCTGGCCAAGCCGCACCTCACTTATGCGGCACCAATCTAGTCTCGTACGATTAGCTCTTCCAGCCTTCGCCGCCTTCAGTCTGCATAGAACGCTGACCTTCGCACAATCACGGGTTGCCATACAATGTCGCCTATCGATCATTTCCATGTAGAGGCTTCTGTCCCGCCGGTCGCTCCTCACAACACACTCCTAGGTCAGCGGTTCTGGTGAACCCCTTCGCAACCCGGCCATCCTAATCACAACCGTTGCCACGCTCCTGAACCCAGCCGTAAGGTTCGGCCGTCATTTTGAGCTCTCCACAAGGAAGCTGTTATCTCGTTTCTCTCGGATCTACCCGTTGATAGCTCTGCCACCAAGACAGGCTTTCAGCACCTTCAACAGAGAGCCGTTGTCGAGGCAAAACGAAGTTACCACCCCCTGGTCCTTTTAGGCGGCTATCCACCTCCGATTGCGGCCTCAGAATAACAACTTCCGAGGGTCACTCGCTGTACTCTGGCTCAACTACGCAGTGGCTACTCACTGGTCCTTCGTCAGTACCAACACCGGCTCGACCCGTCCACACCCGACAGCTGTCTCGATTGAGGCGTTTCTCTGCATGACTGTCAGCATCTGTTCGCCTGCAGTTCCCGGCCAGACACCCAACTCACCCCCGCGGACCTTTGCTTCAAGCCGGTCGAGGTCTCGGCTTTTCTCCGTCTTCCAACTATTACCAGTTTGGATTCCGGCGGGGACTCTTGATCCAACAATGGACTACGAAACATACACACCAACAGCCAAAGCGATGGCTGTACGACTAGCGGATCAATTAGTGCGCGCTTCCGCATTTTTTCCGCACCCTCTGGTAACAATTGTTTCCCCCATGCACGTGGCAGCGATTTTCACTCCGCGTACTCGAGTCGTGACCAGTACTTACAGCCTACCCTATTTGCACCCTCCTACAGTCCAGTGACCTTTACGTGCCAATCTCGCTATGCGAACGGAGTGAAAAGGACGAGTTCTCACTATAACACATTTACCAACCCTGTCCATCTCTTATATTCTCATTATCACTGCAACTGTACAGGGCCAATAATGAGTCGTCGAAAACATAGATTTGCTAACTGGACTTTTAAAGTTAAACCTGGGAATAATTAAAGGTCTTTAAAGTGTGAAAGCTAACGAATCTCCATACCGGTTGTGCCATAGTAGGGCAAGATTTTGTCCGATAAAATGTACTGTAAGCGGCGTATATGCGACCCTTTCGTTCTGTGCAGTTCAGTGTAGTGGACTCGAGACGAGAGTGGAATAGAGGGGGCAGCGCGTACCAAAAACAACTTCTTAGAAACATAACCTCAACTGAATCTTTTAGATAATCAACGCCTCTACAGTAAACAAAAATGAGATGTAGTGCTAACAATTAATAACCAAGAGAGAAAGGGAGAGATTACATCATAGATCGTGCAAACATAGAGGCTGCTGTAGCCACTTTTTGCAAGATACACTTGCATTCGCATTATAAGGCAACGAAGCCAACCAAATCAATGCAAGTACATATGGGTAGAAGCCAAACATGTATATTCAGGAAATTGGTATCACACTGCGACTCCCATAGAGCGCAAAACAGGTCTACGCAACAGGCATAGCCAATTGCTATTATTTTAAAACCATGTGGGTTACGCCTTGCAGATAGATTGGTGTACTCACAAACTCATTGACAGAACTTTGTATCAGCGAACACCATGTCTTCCCACTGCTGCGAAGTCCGCAGTAAAACGTTGGACTGCTAACAAACAGGTCGCTGTTTCAAGCTACAGGAAGTACGCAAACCTGGGCTTGGGTAGGATTAGTTGACGGCGGTTAATAATCCTTTCTATCTCCCTTGTCTCTTTCGGCAACGATATTCTGCCTATAGTACGAACTGCTGTGTGGCTGTTGTCAGGGCTCAAAATTGATCCCCAAGGCACAAC